GCCCCCGGGGGCAACCAGCCTGTCACCCTTGCCTTCAGGAAGAAGCAGAAACCTGCATTTAAGGGAAGTCAGGCAGCTCCCAGTGGGGCCTCCGTCTGGCCACTGAGTGCTGTTGTGCCCCAGGGGGCCAGCGTGGGGCCCCCTCACCTTCTCTGTCCAGGGTGGGGCCCAAACACAGGCTTTTGGAGTCAGGTGACCTGGGACCTCAGGCCCACCCCCTTGGAGCCTTCCTGTCCTTGGGAGCCTGGCCTCCTGGGGCTCCTGCTGACTCCCGCCTGCAGGGAATGCAGCTTCTCAAGCCCCCCAGTCCTGTGAGCCGGAACCTGGGAATCCTGATGCCCACGTTTGAGACGCTGCCCTCCAGGTAACAGAGGTCGCCGGGAGGCAGCGCCTCCCTTTCCTGGCCGGCACTCAGCTTTCCTGGGTGGGACCTGTCCCTGCTGTCGGTGGTGAAGTCCAAGGTCCTGTGGGGTTCTCGGGATGAGCCCCAACCGGCCTTCTGCCCTCCTGCCTGTGCCCGGCTCCCCAGGCCTGGCCCACTCTGTGTCCCCCACCCCCACCCCAGTTAACCTCCCTCCGTCAGGTCCAGGCTCAGGAAGCCTTTCCGCCTGACCGTTCCCGCCCTGGGTGCCCTGAACTGCCTGTCCTCCGAGGCCGTGGGGCGGGCGTGGGGGCGACACTGCCTCTCCTGGGCCAGCAGGCACAGCAGCAAGCCTGTGTTTTCTTACCGTCTTACTCAAAACCATCTGTTCTCACAAGGTTGGCCACAGATGATGGGGAATAAACAAAAGCATGGATCCGTGAAGCAGGGGGACTCCCAGGACTCAGACTGGGACTGCAGGCTCCAGACCAGTCCCTCCCCACCTGGGACATGGGGGCTGTCTCTGAAAAGGTGGGCACACGGGCCTCGGAGGGCCTCCTCCAGCCCAGGACGGCACGGCAGGCTGGCTTCAACACAGCATCCTGCCCGGCCGGGCCTGCCTCAGCGGCTGAGCATCGACCTAGGGTCCAGGAGATCGAGGTGCAATTCCCAGTCAGGGCACATGCCCAGGTTGTGAGCTCGATGCCCAGTTGGGGCCATGCAGGAGGCAGCTGATCAACGACTCTCATCATGGATGTTTCTCTCTCTCTCCCTTTCCCTTCCTCTCTGAAATTAATAAAGATATATATTTTTTAAAAACACAGTGTCTGTGGCGATACCTAGCAGCATCGGGCAGCTGGCAGAGGGACCAGAAAATGGTGCCGCCAGCAGAGGAGGCCACAGTCCACCCGGAGCACCCAGGTCACGTGGCACAACACCACGCGGTGCAGCAGGTCACGGACCCATGGGCTAAAGCAACTGTTGGCACGTTTCACGTGAGTTATGGAAAACCGCAAGTTAGATTTTTTTTTTTTAAAGAAAGCAAACTCCGTAGCACAGTGTGGAGGCAGCAGCCTCTGCCTGGGGAGCTTGCACCCCTGGGTCCACAGGGAGTGAGGCCTGGGGCACCTGCCTGCGGGGAGGGGAGGCAGAGTGGACACCAGGTCCTGGTCTGGGCTTCACGCCCCTCCCAGACACCCCTCCCGGGCTGCTGGCCCAGGGCCCTGAAGGCAGGGTGGGTGGGCTGGCTGATCCTCACCAAACTATGAGGCGCTCCTCCCAGGGTGGGTGCTGCCTCTGGCTTTGGTGTTGAGGCTGGAACTACCTGACGCACCTGGCCAGGTGGCCCTTATCTGCAGGACTCGGGAGACAGAGGTCTGGTACCTGCCCTGCTGTTCACTGTCTTCAGTGGCTCCACGGCTCCCAATCGGCTCCCAGGCTGAGGAAACGCCTCTCTCAATTGCAACAGCTTCCCCCCAGGTCACATGAGCACAGGACGCCTGTTTGTGAACAAAACACACACACCGACACGCAGTCAGCAGTGTGACACATGTGGCGTGTGGCGTGTGGCATGTGGCATGTGGCATGTGGCATGTGGCATGTGGCGTGGTAGGAGGATGTTGAACTTACCCCAGGAGATCAGGGGGCTTTGACTAGAAATAAATGGTGCAGATTTAGTCAAGGGTCTTAAGTCAAGTTTGCGAACTGGAAACACGAGGAGGCAANTAATAAAGATATATATTTTTTAAAAACACAGTGTCTGTGGCGATACCTAGCAGCATCGGGCAGCTGGCAGAGGGACCAGAAAATGGTGCCGCCAGCAGAGGAGGCCACAGTCCACCCGGAGCACCCAGGTCACGTGGCACAACACCACGCGGTGCAGCAGGTCACGGACCCATGGGCTAAAGCAACTGTTGGCACGTTTCACGTGAGTTATGGAAAACCGCAAGTTAGATTTTTTTTTTTTAAAGAAAGCAAACTCCGTAGCACAGTGTGGAGGCAGCAGCCTCTGCCTGGGGAGCTTGCACCCCTGGGTCCACAGGGAGTGAGGCCTGGGGCACCTGCCTGCGGGGAGGGGAGGCAGAGTGGACACCAGGTCCTGGTCTGGGCTTCACGCCCCTCCCAGACACCCCTCCCGGGCTGCTGGCCCAGGGCCCTGAAGGCAGGGTGGGTGGGCTGGCTGATCCTCACCAAACTATGAGGCGCTCCTCCCAGGGTGGGTGCTGCCTCTGGCTTTGGTGTTGAGGCTGGAACTACCTGACGCACCTGGCCAGGTGGCCCTTATCTGCAGGACTCGGGAGACAGAGGTCTGGTACCTGCCCTGCTGTTCACTGTCTTCAGTGGCTCCACGGCTCCCAATCGGCTCCCAGGCTGAGGAAACGCCTCTCTCAATTGCAACAGCTTCCCCCCAGGTCACATGAGCACAGGACGCCTGTTTGTGAACAAAACACACACACCGACACGCAGTCAGCAGTGTGACACATGTGGCGTGTGGCGTGTGGCATGTGGCATGTGGCATGTGGCATGTGGCATGTGGCGTGGTAGGAGGATGTTGAACTTACCCCAGGAGATCAGGGGGCTTTGACTAGAAATAAATGGTGCAGATTTAGTCAAGGGTCTTAAGTCAAGTTTGCGAACTGGAAACACGAGGAGGCAACAGCCAGAGTGTTCCGAGGAGAAGGCGCGTCTGAGAATCTGACAGTGCAAAGCACACACTCGAGTACAATCGGTCCTGCATTGTAGCCCCCGGATTAGTCCACGGTGGTAACTGCCACATGTCTGGGGGGCTGGACACTGGAACACCATCATTGGAAAGTCATTCAGGTGGTTAAGTGAAAGTGTGATATATGTCCAGGCCTTGACACAGGACGAGCGGGCATGCACCGAGGTCCTGATGCAGAGGAAACCCCTGTTTGCTAAAAGATCAGGAATGACTGTCAGTGCGTGTGCACATGCGTGTGCATGTGCCTGGCCCATGGCTTGTTTTGTGAATAAAGTTTTATTGCACATGCTGCACCACAGTGGCTGCTCTGCCACCTGGTTGAGCATTTGCTGCCCAGGCCGTAAAATCTGCCAAGCCTGAAATATTTGCTCTCTAGCCCTTTAAGAACAATTCTGAGGCCCCCTGAGCCCAGCAAGAACACTGGGCTGGACGTCCACCCCAGAGACCAGAGAGGAGTCCACAGGAGGGGCCGGTGGGTGGAGGATGCAAGGCTCTCTTTCCACTGACTGGTCTCCGGAGGCTCCTCCTCCTGCCGAAGGGTCAATGCCCCAGCTGTCAGGCCTGGACAGAGGATAAGCACTGACAGGGGTCAGGTAACCGCCACTGGCGGGCAGCGGGCGAGGGGGAGCCATCCGCAGGCCTCTCCCCTGACACCGCAGGTGCACCCTGCACTTCCCAGCGCGGGGCAAGCCGGGACATGCTCCGCACTCTGACCTCAGCCGGTGCATCCCTGGGGCCCCAGGTGGCAGGCTGGGTGCGCACCATGGCCTCGCACCAGCTGGTGGTGAGCCCCCCGGAGGCCCTGCTCAAGCCCCTGCTGGTGCCCAACCGGCTCCTGCTGGGGCCGGGCCCTTCCAACCTGGCTCCACGCGTTCTCGAGGCTGGAGGACTGCAGATGATCGGCCACATGCATAAGGAGATGTACCAGGTGGGCCAGGGAGTGCTCAGTCCTCAGCTGCCTCCTCACGGGGGAGGCCGGAGGGCCTGGGCCTGGGTCTCACCTGCACACCGCTGCCCCCCGCCCCCCCAGATAATGGACGAGATCAAGCAGGGCATCCAGTACGTGTTCCAGACCAGGAACCGCCTCACGCTGGCCATCAGCGGCTCAGGGCACTCTGGCCTGGAGGCCGCCCTCTTCAACATCCTGGAACCTGGGGACTCCTTTCTGGTCGGGGTCAACGGCATGTGGGGGCAGCGGGCAGCTGAAATCGGGGAGCGCATCGGTAAGGGATGGAGCAGAGGGATGGGGCACCTCCGGCAGGATCCTTTCCCATCCTCCCACCTCCGGCAGGACACCTGACAGCCCCCTCACCCCAGGTACCAACCTTGGCCCCTGCCCACCCCCCTCTGTGGCCTCCACCTTCTGGCCAGTCTGGGTGTCAGGATGCCCAAGGGCCCCATGCCTCTGGTCTCCCAGAGTTTGGGGGCAGCTGTCTGTGGAGCACATGGGGGCACTGCAGGGAATCCTCTGGTCTCAGCCCCCACAGCTCACTGGGGCCCCCGGCGTAACCTCTGCTCTGCCATAGAACAGGGTTGCAGAGGCTGAAATCCCCCCTCAGAAATCTCAGAAACAGCCGTGGCCGGGTGGCTCAGTCGGCCCGGGCACCGGAGGGTTGCAAGTTCGATTCTCAGGCAAGGGCACATAGCTCGTAGCTCGGTTGGGGGTTCACTTCCCACCCCCAGTTGGGGCGTATGCAGCAGGCAACCAATCGATTGCCTTTCACATTGATGTTTCTCTCTCCCCCTCCCTCCCTCCCTTCAGTTCCCTCTGAAAAGTAATGGAAAAAACTATCCTCAGGTGAGGACTGATAAAACAAAACAAAAAATCTCAGATTCAAACTCTTCCTGGAGCCACCGAGCACTGAGGGGACAGGGTTTCACTTTCAGAGAGAAATGTCTAGAGAAGCAAAGCTCGAGAGCAGGACGAGCCCTGGGTTTAATGATTGATGTGCGCTTACAGATCGTCCTGCAAGGTCAGCTCCACACGTGGCTGCACTCCGTCCAGCTAATGAAAAAATTCCGACAGCTCAAGGGGGATCCCGGCCCCTCCCCCGGTCCCCTGTGGTCCTCACACTGGCTGAGCAGAGCCAGGACCTCAGTGCCCACAATCCAGGGGCTCTGACTGCCTGCTGCTGGGCCCGGGCAGGCCCCGACCCTGCCCCCCATACCCCGGCCTCAGGCTCTCCCCTGAGGCTCGGATGGTCCTGGGGCTGCCTCATCGCCAACGTATGGCTCTGGGGCTCACTGTGCTCGGGTTGCAAGGGTCTGAGAGAGGAGCTGGGCGAGGGCCTGTTCCTTCCTTCCTATGCTGGGAAGGCACCATCGCTCGGCTGCGCACAAATAAATGCCTGTTAATTTCCCGTGTGAGGAGTGCCGGGGATGCCCAGCCTGGCTGGGCTCCGGGAAGGCGGCCTGAGGAAGGGACAGGGGAGCTGAGCCAGACGTGCTCTCATCCTGAGCACCCCGAAGCCTCAGCTGACGAGCAGATTCGCTGAGCACACCCCACTTTCCTCTCCAGCAGAGCGGCTGGGCCGGGGCTGGGGCTGGGGTGGCAGGTCCCTGCCCTCATCAGCAGGCCGCTGCCCCCAACAGTGGCTCCTGCCCTGTATTCTGGGGCAGGGGTGGCTCACTGCTCCCTGCTCCTGCCCCCAGGAGCCCGCACACACCCGATGATCAAGGACCCTGGAGGCTACTACACGATGCAGGAGGTGGAGAAGGTATGACCCCGGGGAAGCCAGGAGCCTGGCCAGCTGGGTGGGCTCAGGGTTGGGAGGCTGGGGCCGTGGCTTCCAGCGCCAGGTGACCCACCCCAGGAAGAGCATTCTGATCCCTGGGAGCAGGTGGGAAGCCTGATAGGGAGGGTTCTGCCTGGCAGGGCAACTGAGTCAGGGGTCCAGTCCTGTGGGCAGGGCCAGAGTGGCTGGAGGTAAGAGCTGGGGAGCAGGACATGCCCTGACACTCCGGGTTCCAGCCCCTCCCTGATGGGGGGTCAGTCCCAACCAGACCCTCGGGACTCAGCTGACCCCACAAAAGTCCCAATGGACGGGGCTAGAGGCCGAAGCTACTCTCCCTGAGCCTCTGGGAGGAAGACCCTCTCCCTGGCATGAGCCCTCCTCCCAGAGCCCAGATGCCCGGCCCCACATCAGCACAGACCAGGAGGGTTACACCAACTGTAGGAGGGAGGGGTACTGGAGGGGGGTCCTACCCTCACCAGGAAAAGTCCTTCTGGGGGCACTGGCTGGCCAAGGGGAGCCCCTCCTCCCACTGGCTTTGTCTGCACCTGTCACCTCTGTGCCCCTCAGGCCCTCGCCCAGCACAAGCCGGTGCTGCTGTTCCTGACCCAGGGGGAGTCCTCCAGCGGGGTGCTGCAGCCCCTTGATGGCTACGGGGAGCTCTGCCACAGGTGAGCCTGCCCCTCAGGTGAGCCTGCCCCTCGGGTGAGCTTGTTTCAAGGCGGCAGTGCCGGGGACACAGCCAAGCACAGCTCACCCTGGGCTGGGTGGGTGGGGATGCTGGCAGGTCCCTCCAGCCTGGCCGTAGGGGCGAGGCTGAGTCCCCATCTTTCCCTGCCCCCGCTCAGCCTCTGCCATGGGGTGCAGGGTGCAAGCACCTCTCAGGGTCCTCCTTGGTCTTTGCTGAGTCTGGGTGGGCTCTTCCCCTCTGAAAGCAGGATGAGGTTCCCCAGGGCAGGTGCCCCCACGGTGCCCACTGTCCTCCAGTCCCGCGGCTGAGAAGGGCTTGATGCTGACCCAGCTGTCCAGGTCCCAGGACCTGCAGGGCCCTGCCCCACCTGGCCTGAGATCCCAGAGCCCTGAGGCAGCCTCTGCCCTCCCCTCCCCTCCCCTGGCCTCTCCCACACCTTCACGGGGGGCAGGGGGCCACAGGGCCTTGGAGGAGTCAGATGGTCCCCCCCTGTGACGAGCAGGCCTGCTCTGCAGAGTTGGAAGTTTGAGGCTCCATGGGGGCCGAGGGGCCGCGAGGCACAGCAGCCCTGACAGCCTGGCCCTGGGAGACCTGGCACAGCCGAACTCACAGATGTGCCCTGGGCCATGACTCCCCGGGGGAGCTTTCCTCCGAGACCAGCAGGGGACGCTCGCTTTGCCCTTTCCTTAAGAAAACACGGAGGTGGGGGAGAGGCAAAACTTTTGGCTCGGGCCGTCTCTGGATTCTGTCCTTCCTGGGCTCTGAGCTCACAGCCAGCAGGCTATTGGCAGAGGGAGGCCCAGGCTCGTGCTGTGCGGCCCCTCTGCACACCCTCAGAACCTCTGGCCACCCCAAGGCCACAGGCCACTTGGGCTGGCCTCACGCACCCCTGTGTGTGGGGATCCCGGGGCTGGCGGGTGGGAGCTGAAGCCCCTCCTGCTTCACTGTGCTGCCCCTCCCCCAGGTACCAGTGCCTGCTCCTGGTGGACTGTGTGGCATCCCTGGGCGGGGCCCCCATCCACATGGACAGGCAAGGTAAGGTGTGTCCCGACACCCTAGCCAGCCGGGCTCCATGGGTGGTCAGGCACCTACGTGGGGCAGACGGGCTCTTCTCCAGGTTAGCACGTGGGGAGGCACTCGGAGCCCCTGCAGGGGGCGGGGGTGGGAGGACAGGGGTGTGCGATGTCTCTGGTCCCAGCTGGGCCTCAGTTTCCCCACCTGCCTTAGCCCCTCACCAGCATGTCACATACAGTGAGCACCATCCCTGGGGTCACCTTGCAGGTCAGCTGGAGAAGTCCTATGGGTCAGTGGAAGGGGCTTTATGGGTCAACACTCACACCGTTGCTCTGAGAGGAAGGGGGCTGGGAGGGGCCCAGGGACACAGTGCGGATGGGCAGGGCTGTCCCCAAGATGCCACCCTGCGCCTCCCAGCTGGCTGCATCCCGCGTGGAGAAAGAAGCCGAGCTAAGAGGCTCCAGCCTGAGACCCCAGAGTGCAGACTCCGCAGATGGCAGGGCGAGACGCGAGCCTGGGCACCCTCCCTGCTCCCACCCTCCCCGCACAGCCCAGCGAGACCCGCACGGAGCCTGGGTCCTCCAGTTTTCACTGGTTACTTGCACATGCCCCACTGCACCCTCTCCTCTCGAGTGGGCTTTGCGGTTTTTTCCAGGTTTAGCCTTTTAGGAATAAGCTTTGAGAGCATTCTTGTCCAGGCCTGTGGGTGCACCCTGAGGCCATTCCTTGCCTCCTCCCCCCCCCC